CTACCATCCGTTTTCTGGATGGTCCAACCTCGTTGCCCTGACCCTTCACTTCCACGAGTTTTATGATCATGAAAGAAAAGTTCTTGTCCTTGAATGTTACACAGTTCACGGCACAGCGTCTATGCTGACATAAAAGATGCTAGTCCCTGAGCTCAGCTTTATTCTACTGAATCTAAACACCGAAGAGGACTTTTCTTTTCGTTTTTCAACATTTTGTGTATTTATTATATTCGGCTAAGATGAAAATTAAATGCAATTTTCTAAGCGTACAAACAGATTTTATTTTCAAAAAGGACCACTTTTCTCTCAGTTATGACCTTAACTGCACAAAGAGATCCTTTCTTTTACTCTTAACTGAAATTGTGACATTTCTAACCTTCAAAAATCTGCACCGGTGTCAAACCTTTCAGAGCTGCAAACACACACACAAAGCTCTTGCAAATCCAAGATGAAAAAGAACACCATACGTTGGACACAGAAGTCTAGGAAAATGACTCCTGCCCTCTGGGATTTGTAGCAGTGAAGATGCGGTGGCATTTTTTCCCCCCTCGCCCGTCAGCTTTCTCAGCTGAAATGATGAGCAAAAGATTGCTCTGCCAAATGTAATGAGGCGTTGCACTTTCACCTCCACAGAAGCTAAACCTAATGGAAGTCATTGGCTAAACGCCTTCCAGACTAAATGAGATGACTTCTTGGTTAGTGGGGCTGTTGTTTGGTGCATAATTGATAGGAGAGGTGGTTAAAGGCATCCATTTCCCCCCCGAGGGCAACATAATTGCAAAAGAATCTAATAAAGTAGGGAGGAAGGGAGACTTTTTATCAAAGAGGCGCACCCGCTGCAGGTCTGCATTCAGATCACATACACAACACAAACCAACAGAGATACACACGTTTCAGATTATGCAAGAAAAAATAAACTCATCCCCACAACACTAAGCACCAGTGACAGGATGAATTCACTGCAGCATATGATGCATCCATCCCCATGTTGTTATTGCTTTTATCTGAGGCCATCTCCATCCAATCAGTGTGAAGGAAACCCTGAGAGGCAACGCGCCGCCAAACCCATCTGAATACACATCTGCTCTGTAAATAAGGAATTCACCGTTAACTGACGCCACTCTCATGAGTCAGGCGATCAGCAAATAAATGATCCATTATGGTTAGTGTGTCTCAAACTGGCCCGAAGCGAAATGCCAGACCTAGAGGAGAAAGTGTGGGGTTGTTCATTCCCAGCGGTACAATCTATGCACACGTGTGTCAGACTCCAGTCCTTCAGAACAACGGTCCTGCATGTTTTTTAAAGTTTTCTGCTCTAAAGCATCTGATGTGAATCAGCTGGTGATTAGCAGGCTTCTGCCAAACCTGAGGACAGACTGAAGAGGAAATTCACTTACTGAATCATGAATGCTGGAGCAGGAAAACAGCGCTTTGGCCCTCGAGGACCTGAGCTTAAAACCCCTGAAGGACTAGTTTCAACACTATGTGACCTCTAGTGGCCATAAGATTCACTGCAGGTGAAAGAAACGTAAAGGGGTGGACTTTACCATCAAAGGAGGATTTTTCCAACCTTAACTGACTGAGCCTCATCCAGGTGCTTAAGCACATCTGAGATCTTTCTGTTGGAGGAGCAAGCACACCCACCGGTCACTGGGAACAGATTACAACCACAGCTACGTCAGTGACTCAGCATCCAGCTATAGAGGCAAATTAGCAAATTGTGGTCTTGAAGACTCATTATTCTTATTTAAAAAAACGGTTTCTGCAAACATATTTACAACAACTTGAACATCTTTTAAATCCAGCAGACTTGCAGCAAATTTAAAATCTACACAATGAGATCACAATTTAAATGATAAAATAACCGCTACCTAAAAGAATCAATTTTTATGTGAAAGAAACATAAAATTATCAAGAATTTCATGTATCAAACACATATTACTTATCAATACAATCATAATAATGCTTCTTTATTTGTGACCACTTCACATAACAATCATTTAATAACTACTTTTTAGTACTTTTCCTTTTTGGGCTGCATGGTGGCGCAGTGGTTAGCACTGTTGCCTCGCAGCATGAAGGTTGCGGGTTCGAAACTCGGCTGCGGCCTTTCTGCGTGGAGTTGCGTGTTCTCCCCATGCCTGCATGGGTTTCCTCCGGGTACTCCGGTTTCCCCCACAGATCACAACATGCCCTATAGGTTATAAATTGTAAGTCGCTTTGGATAAAAGCGTCTGCTAAATAAATAAACATAAACTTTTCTCAGCTAAACGTTATGTTTTAGTTGTGGGTACCGAGACAGGTGAGTATTTTATTCATGTAAATTTGATTTCTAACCATAAAGTAGTTTTATTGCTTAAAGTGTAATGTCTTCATAACACTTTTGATGCTGTAAGAAAAATTCTGTTTTGGCAATGATCACCATCTATTTCTGGCCCTGATCACAGAGTCTAACTGCCATATTGAAGTGAAATTTCATGATGTGATGACATTTTATAACTCAGACATGAAGATGTTGGTGACACCCTCAAGCCCAACTAAAGAAGCGGCTACGAGAAAGAACGTCTTCCACTGGAGCATGCAAGCAATTAATTATATATTTTTAATTGTACCTCCCAAACGTTTTTATTATAAACATTTTTGTCACTTTCCAATTTGCATGATGTTGTTTGGGTTTGCCTAGCAATGACAGTATATAGGCCCATATTTTGAAGGCTAAACTCACATTCATCTGGTAGAATTTTATAAATGCAGGTAGAGGTGGCAGAATGAGGGCAAAACACACCAGCAGCATTTGATACATCTCCATTATTTTTATTTATAACCCCACATGGTCTTTGATTCAACATCCAACAGTATTTTTCAGAGAATTTATTTTGAAACATAAACCATAAAAGCTTATTTTACTTTTTGAGCTGCCCTGCTTGTCCGTGCTTTCTATGTGTGACTGATTAAGCAGTCTGGTTAGTTGTTTTTTAATATTTCTACAAAAATGTTATTCTTGATATGACAAATCACATTTATTCTAGTATGACTCTCGCCCTTTAAACATCTCAATTCTGCCACCCACTGGCTCAAACCAGTCACATCACATGTCCGTCTTAAAATATGAACTCTGGAAACACAAGTTAGGTGCAAAGGCTTTCTGATCATGCAAAGCTAAAGATATCAAACTCAATGATAGTAAAACTGACTAAAATAATAATAATTATGTGTTTCTTTTTCATAATTAAGCAGCCTCACATGTTTCTGTTTGAGGACACATCCTGCTTTATAATATATATATATATATATATATATATATATATATATATATATATATATATATATATACGTAAGTCCTATAGGTGGTTTGGCTCTGCTATGTTAATCCTTTCTGCCGCCTGTGGTTAAAGTAGTTCAGAGGACGTCTCAGTGGGTTGTATTAGAGGTTTTGAACAAATCTCCTATAAGGTTTCATGGATTGGACTACTCGCTGAAAACCAACAAAGATGGGATAATTGTTGGATATTGATTGGACCATAACTCTAAACTGGCTCTTATGTGGGTTAGTAATGTATCCTATGACATAAGGTTTCAAATAAAAAGCCATTCCATGTTATCGCCACCTCTCAAACCCACTCTCAGTGGCTGTTAATGGGATGTATTAGCGTTTTCTTTCCAGGGATGTTTCCTTTTATATCCCCAGCTTTAAAATAAATAAAAGCCCTTTACATGTGTGACTGACACAAGAAGATGTCTCTGTTAGAGGTCTGGTTGGAACGTATGAGGGCAACAATAAGCAGTGATGGTGGAGCTTTTCTCAGAAAAGCAAACAGAAAACTGACAGTTTTTTAATGTTTTTTTGTTGAATCTGATCACTAGCTTCTGGCATCTGGATAAGATCCTCTGCACAGACATCCAGCTGTGTGTTTCCTCGCAAGACTTCACAGATTTCTTGAAAAACAGCAGGACATTGCCCCCCCACCCCACCCCAACGGATTCGTTTTAACGTTAAACACGACCACATCTCTCAGCTGATGCCAAACACAAGGGCAGGAGTAAGTGCACCTAAAAGCGGGGGGTGGGGGGTGGGGGGGGCAGTGATCCATCTCCAGACCTTATCATCCGGCAGGCACTTCCCCCGACCCTCCATCCATCCCAGTTTCAGCGAAACACATGACTGGAGGTCAAAAATCAGCAGCAGGAGACTTTTTTTTAATGCTCCCACTCCTCTTATCCCATTCAATTCATAGCTTTTGAGGGAAGAAGAAGAAACAGTGTCTGTAAAATGTAATTGCCTCTCTGGTTCAATCAAAAGGGCTTTTGAAAGCAAATGGTGCCACGGCACAAACTCGTCCCTCACACTGCCAGGATCTGGATATGTGCTGCGTTAGAGAATTACTCGCTGCCTGGCTTCAAAACCGGCTCACCTCTCATTTGGCTTGTTTTTTTCAAAATATGTGCAAAAAGGATCTATAAATAAACATGAAACGAGGGGAGAGCGGCTGCATTCCCCATAGGAGGATACTTTGAAGATGCTGCGTTTTCCTTTCACTGTTCCGTCTGTCTGGGCGGGAAATGTTTGGTTTTTCAGCGTAAAACAAGAGTTGAGCTGTAATCTCTTTAATTACTTTGTCCCCCCTTACTTCTGTTATCATTCCAGAGACTTTGCAGAGACAGGGAATTGTTGAAGAATTACACATTCTTTTCCACATGAAGCAAGTTTTCAGAGAGCTTCTGGTCCTGATGCTGATGCTCGGTGTGGCTGAGCAGAGCAGCACCAAATGGACTTTGTCCTAGATGAAGGAAATGAGCCTGAGCAGTGAAAATCCCAGAAGGACCATCCAAACCGAATCAGCGCGGCATGCATGTGTGATCACATCCTCCACTCATTTCCATTAAAGCATTCCACGGATTAGGAATGTAGTTTTAATTCACTCTGTGTTGCATTAAGTTGCAAAGAAATGAACTCATTAATTAAAAAAAAACATGCAGACAACTCCTGAGTGAGCACTTACTGGTCCTATGGTGCGGCTTTTTTCTTCTTCATTAAACTGCTTTATTAGTATCCGTTAGATTCGTCGGCTCATTGTTTTTTCTTTCTCTTTTTAACTCTTGTCGTCTTTTGAAGCTGAAGAAAAGCAGCTCCAGCGGCGCTCTGCTTCTTCCTCCCTCGGTGTTTAAGGACGGGACTGATAGTAACCTTTCTGGCTCGGTTAATCCAACGGTCCGACGTGGATCTGCAGGCAGAGGGGCGACGAAACCCGGAGGAGAGGAGGAGGAGAGGAGAGGAGGAGGAGGGGGTGGTGTTCCTCGAGCTCCTCGTCCTATTACGTTCAGTCCACGAGATGCTGCCTGGAAGCGGAGAGGACAGCGGTGCCACTGAGCGGATCCTGCGCGCATCCCCGGGCTCTGCTCCTCGTTCTGTGTGCGCATGGATGGAAAAAGCGCCCACTAGTGACGCGTGGACCAAAAAAAAAAAAAAAAAGTAAAACATCGCCCGATCAGTATAATGCGCCACCAGCCCACGAGCACCTGCCTTTCCGCTGCCGGAGTGAGTACTCTTCTCATCCCGGGATGTTTAAACCCACTCCGAGCGAGGAACAGAAGACATTTTCAGGATTGTTGTGGAAAAAAAAAACGTTCATTGTAAGGACTCAAATCCACACACAATGATTTAGCGGTTTTAGTCTGACCACTGGTTTATCATAAAAATAGCAGATAGCCTACATCCATCACATTCATCCAAACTAAAGGAGGGTGTTATACATATGACGAGATCCATTTAACCCAAATACGCGTTTATTTAGTGTGAAATAAGAACGCATTAATGCGTTTGTCCAAAACCACAGAAATAACAGGGACATGCTTTCGTGCAATCTCAGTTCGTTTCCATTGTTTAAATGATGCAATCATCAGAAACCATTTATACAGCATTATATAAAATAAATAAATATATCAGTGGAAACCAGGGCTGGACTGGGACAAAAATTCAGCCCGGGCATTTTGACTGGAGACCGGCCCATCACCTGTTTTTTTTTTTGGAAAAGACATTAAGCCTTATGCTGTTTCTGACACACACCAACGTACACTTTCTTATTGGTAGTATTTATGTATCAATCTAATAAACGTAAACCTACACCATCCTTCCTATCCTGGTATTCTAAAAAGTAGGGTTGGGGGTAACTGATTATTTTTAAAATGATTATTCTGACGATTATTTTATCGAATAGTCGACTATTCTAATGACTATTTAGATGATTAATCTAGCGATTATTTTTCTATTGCACAATTAATAAAAACCAAAAAATTCTCAAATAAATTCCTCCAAAAAATTGATAAGTTGTTTCTGTAAGAGAATAAACACTACAGGCCTTCCATTTTGTATAACACTGCTTTTATTGTGTTGCGGTTGGTTATGTTCTGGTGACGTGTAGAACTTGGGAGTGCAGGCTGCTGCCTGAGAGGTGGTTGGAGACGGAGTGTCTCCATGCTGCTTTGTTTTGTTCACTTATGTGCATGAGGCAAGTGGTGTTACGACCCTTCCTGGGGAGTCACGTGTTTCTCCTATTTTAACTGTAAATCCTTCTAGCTGTTATATTTATAACAAGAAACAGATATTCGGACAGAATATTTTCACGTTTATTCGAATATGATTGTGGAACACACCCAGCATCATAATAAATGAAGTAATATTTATGCCAATTTAAGCCTTTATGGGTGACCAGGACTCTGTGTTTATGAATGTGGAAGACACCCAGCATCCTGTGATGGCACTAATAACATCAAGAGATAATAAATAAAGTAATATTTAGGTAAATGTAACCCTTTACAGGTGACCAGGACACTGTAATCAATTTTTGGCGAGGGAAATTATCTTCTTTTTTTTTTTTTTATTTTGCCATTTTTGGGGTGTTTTTGATGACACAATAGGCAGTACGAGTACAGTAACGTCAACAGATAATACATAAAACCCTTATTTGGTCAATTTTAGCCTCCATGAAAATCTTAGCGATTCAATCACTTTTTGGCAAGTAAAATGCCATTTTAGTTGTCTACAATTAAATCATCAATAAAGAATTTAAAGATATTTTGAGGCATTTCTTATAGGTAAACGGGAGGGTGTAGTCTATTTGGCAAGTGACAATCTTAATTTTATGTGCTGAAGTGCTTTTATCTTGTTACTTTTAAATAGAGCAACGTAATGTATAGATAGCAACCTACACAGTGTCATTGTAAAGCCAAAGCTTGATCATTTTAAATACTTTTTTTCAAGTAAAAATGTGCCCCAAACTAGTTAACTGTGGCTCCATGTCAAGTGGACTAAAGAAAGGAAGGGGAAAAAATTAAATCGCTGGAGAATTGTTTATTTCCATTTATACAACGTTTACATTCAATACAGGGTGCCATTTTACATTGTTATTTATTTTTTTAGTATCAAGGCTGTAACATAAAGAAAGCCAGTTCTTACCACAAAGTTTGTGGCACAAACCATCTTTCAATCGCAAATATTGCAAAAAGGATTAATATATCCTCATTGTGAACGTTTAAGACAAATAGCAACACTTAAAACAACTTCCGAACTGGAAAAACTAATGTGGCAAGGTGCAGAAACTAGTGCCCAGACGGGATTCGAGCCCCAGACTCCCGGGTGAAAGCCATACGCTCTAACCAGTCAGCCAAAGGGACATCTCCTTGGTCAAGCAGCCAGGGCGCACAATCTACCGGGATATTGTGGATGCTCACACTGCCACATTTTGCTCCCTCTTTCCACAAGCACGTCCTCGTGCTCCCGCGCAGGGTGCCACAAACACTGCCACACTAATATCCGCGATAAACATCTGTTTAAGTACCGGAAGAGGTTATCTTTGCTTTCTGAATGTCCATATTGCCAGATATGCTGAGTTTTAGGGCGAAATCCTGGGGAATTTTGTCTAGAAATGCAAGTGCCTAAACGTGCGCGATCCCGCGGTGGCTAATCATTTTTTGGCAGCGAGTCAATTTATGGCACAACACCGGCTCGGGTTTCTCCTCCTCCTCCCTCTTTTCTTCTGCAACCTGTCGCTGGGCTGAGGCTCCATCACTTCCTAAATTGATTTTACTTGAACCTTCACTACCAAACAACTGTGAGATTTTAACACATGTGCCAGCATCAGCCTGAAGGGCCAGTCTCTTTTTTAGTCGAATTTTCTCCGCTTCTCCTTTCCGTTTTTTGTTCTCCATTTTGTTAAGCTCGTCTGTCTGTTTACTGAGATTCACAAACAACTGGCGGGTGCATCAGACCTCTGGCTATTGGTCCAGCCCAGAGTGTATTATTACCAATTGGCCAATCCACCAACTTTTACGAGGCGTCGCGTGGGGCGGCGCGGACAAGTTGTCCGCAACAACTAGAGGCCAGGAAAAAAAAAAAAATAAATAAAAACAGACACCGGCCCATAAAAGATGAAAGGGTCGGCCCAGCGGGCAGTTGCCCGCTATGCCCTATGGTCAGTCCAGCACTGGTGGAAACTCCTTTCATAATCCAGCACACATCTGGTAAAGATTTGTGTCCAGGCAGTCATGTGCACCGTGTTTACAGCTGTTCAGATCAACATTTTCATACATGAAATAAGATAAAACATCAGTCAGAGGAGTAGAGACAGTTCCCCTCAGACATATAGTTTGTTTCTCGCTACGAATTTCCTGTTTTACTTTATTTTCGTGAGAGTACATACATGTGTGTTGTCCTGTAATCTGTTGCATAATTCTGATATTCCCTGAAGTGACGGTAAAACCCTAAAACTGAGTTAAAGCTGCAGTAAATGGAATTAGACAAGATTATTTGTTCTGTAAGTACCGTAAGAAATGATTTGTCGACTCAACTTAACTTAATCTTTTTTTGTCAGCTGTTAAAAGAAAGCTGACTCGACATTTTTGTCTCAACTAGTTTCAACATAGATGACAAAAGAGGTCAATGTAACAAGGCTGTATGAATTACTTGCGGCTGGCTCAAAAGAATTTTTATGTCAACAAAGTAATATTTTACATTGGCTGAGATTATCAATCCTTCCATCCATCCATTTTCAGCCGCTTATCTGGGGTCGGGTTGCAACAGCTTAAGCTGAGACGCCCAGACTTCCCCCTCCCCAGCCACTTGGACCAGCTCCTCCAAGGGAATCCCAAGGTGTTCCCTGACCAGCCGAGTTACATAGTCTCTCCAACGTCCCCTGGGTTATCCCTTGGACCTCCTCCCAGTTGGACGTGCCCAGAAAACCTCACCAGAGAAGCGTCCAGGAGGCACCCTGACCAGATGCCAGGGAAACCTCAACTGGGTTCTTTCGACGTGGAAGAGAAGCACATCTACTCCGAGTCCTTCCTGGATGACCGAGATCTACTCTATCTACTCTACCTATCTCTAATGGAGAGCCCAGACACCCTGCGGACGAAACTCAATTTGCCCTCTTGTACCTGTGATCTTGTTCATTCGACCACTACCCAAAGCTTGTGACCAAAGATGAGGGTAGGAATGTAGATCTACCGGTAAATCGAGAGCTTTGCCTTCCGCCTCAGCTCTCTCTTCACCACGACAGACTGGTACAACGTCTGCATCACCGGCTGCACCAGTCCGCCTATTGATCTTATGCACTGTTTTTCCCTCAGCCATGAACAAGACTCCAAGATATTTAATTCAATTCAAGTTTATTTATATAGCGCCAAATAACGACAAGAGTCATCTCAAGGCACTTCACATAGTAAATATTACAATACAGGTCAGTCATTAAGCCAATCAGTAAAAAGTTTCCTATATAAGGAACCCAGCAAATTGCATCGAGTCACTGACTAGAGTCAGTGACTTTACAGCAATCCTCATACTAAGCAAGCATTTAGTGACAGTGGAGAGGAAAACTCCCTTTTAACAGGAAGAATCCTCCAGAGAATCCTGGCTCAGTATAAGCAGCCATCCTCCACGACTCACTGGGGATCGAGAAGACAGAGCAGACACACACACAGACACACACACACACACACACACACACACACACACACACACACACACACACACACACACACACACACACACACAACATATATACCAAGTAATGTGTCTATGGTTATATTGTGATTTCTTAGTAAATATTCTATTTAGTGAGAGATAAACTTTATTGTATTTATCCTAGTGAATCTATAATTAAACGGGTAAACTAGTAGTAGCACATTCAATGTCAAAGAAAGTGAAATGTTATTATCAGGAGAGGGAGAATGTTTAAGTGGTTAGCAGC